GGTGGCCCTTGAAACCACTGTAGGACTTCCCCATCTTCTGTAGCCTTCACTTTCTTGCCACTCCACAGCCATAGTCTCTGTCATAACCCAGAAATGCTAGAACTCTCAAACAAATTCAGATCTCGGCTCGGACTTCAGCCACCACCCCATCAACCTTCTTTGTCTGATACCCCATTAGACTAGTGCTACTCGAAATGTGGCCAGTGGCCCAGCACTAGTCTGAGAACTGTTACAAAGAGACAAGGGCAAAAACCCAGAGGAAGCATTCAGAAACTTTTGTAGCAATTTGATGCTGCCACGACATCCAAGTGCATGGGTGACCAGTGGACGCCTATAGACCAGATCAGGTGTTAAAGAATTCAAACAAGTGGCGAGAGCTGCCTTTTAGGCATGCACGGTACAATCACATACTAGTCAACATGACGAGCAGCTGCATGAAACTGCTCCTCCACCTCTCCTATCTTCAACCTTGAAGCAGGTATTTCCTGCTCCTCCCGTAACCCATTCCTGGAGAAGACACTCTTCTCCAAGAGAAACACTTCACAGTCAAGGCGTCCACCCCTCCCCTCCTGGTTTCACTTCTTTCCCAGCCCAACCTGAATCGCCAGATAGAACCTCCATAAATATTCATGCCATCAGTGCATCTGCCCAAACAGTCTCCACCAGGAATGAAGCCACTTCTGATCCAGGCTGCCACTCTGTGCTGGATTCTTGCGAGGGGACCACCTTTGCTGCGATGATAGAAACTAGGAATTCCCTTCAAGGAAGACCCAGCCCCTTGCCCATGCCTTTCCCTGTCATAATACAACACAACAAACACATTTATTTTTTTGGCCAACTATTTATTGAGAGCCAATTATTTGCAGCTGTGGTCCCTGCCCACAAGCAGCTCACGATCCAGTAGGAGGCATCGACCAGGTATTGCAAGGAAGTTGAAGGTTAGATAATGGAGAGGTACAGGAGGCCATGAAAAAGTGTAACGGTCGCCCAAGAGGCACACGCAGTAGCTGGGCATCATGTGTGTTGAGAGTGTGTGTGTAGTGGGGTGGTCGAGGAGGGTTGTTTACATCTCTCCCTTCAAAATGGAAAAAGAAAAGCGCTTCTATTAATATTTTATCATTTTTTACACTAATTATTAGCACATGCAGGAAAGAAAGCACAGTCAGAGTTGTGCATTGTTATGGCTTTGTACTTCCCTATGCTTCTGCAGCTATTATTCTGGAATCTAGACCCCCGAAAGAAACATCATTCCAAAGGACCCTCAATATGGGTCAGACATCACCGTGTGTGTCACTAAATCATATAATGAGTCTCTAAAAGGAACCCAGTAAAACATGGCCTTACCCCCAGATGTACGTTGGCTCCCACTCTTTGGACAGATGCCCTGAAGCTTCAGGTCCTCAGGTTACTGCCATGAAAGGATCTCTCCTGCCTTTTTGGCTAAGTATTTCAAAGCACGCTTTTGTCCTTCTTATGCTTGTAACCTCAGCATGTGGCACAGGGTCTGGCACATAGGAGGGGCTCGGAAAACAGGTACAGGCAGGCATGGGTTCCTATGAAGCTGTAATCCTGTCCCCACCTTGGTTTCATTAACCTGCTTCTAGAGAAGGATTTGCTATTGTTTGAATATTTGTGTCCCCCCAAAATTCATAATGCCCAATATAATGGTATTAGGAGGTGGGACTTTTGAGAGGTGAGTCGGCCATATGAACGAGATTAATACCTTCCTAAAAGAGGCCTGAGAGAGGTCCCTGCCCTTTCCAACCTGTGAGGCCCTTCAGCCTGGAAGAAGGCCCTCACCTGACCATGCTGGCACCCTGATCATGGACTTCTAGCCTTCAGAACTGTGAGAAACAAATGTTGTTTACAAACCACCCAGTCTTGTGTTTTGTTATGGCAGCCCCAAAAAACCAAGACAGACTACTTCTTTCCAAAACAAGCAGCCCCAAATCTACAGGTTAGCTATGAAAAAGAACACAGTAATTGTCAGTATCACTCAAAACAGTTGACACTATTGAGCAAACACAGACCTATTTAGCTCCACAGCCCACCGTGGAACATGAGGCTGTTCCAAAAATGCACATCCTTTTTTCAGTTGTTATGGGCAAATGATAACAGATTTCATTCCCTTTCCTTTTTAGGTCCAACTACAGGCTTCTTACTAGTAACATTCTAATGGAAGATCACTAAAATTGGGCATTTGGAAACTAAAATTGGCATATAGAGTTTACTAAAATCTCTACTTCAATTTTCCACTAGGATGCCTGGCTGCACCGAAACTCCTGGCAACTTGACAAGACTACTGTACGTGCCCACGTGCCGACAGCTGGAATTCCCAGTATTTGCAGGGAGGTGGCTTTCTTAACAGTGAATTATCAGCCTTGTGTGGAGTTGGTCATGCTGCTATATTTCCTTCTTTTAAAAAATAAATTATCTCTAGTTTAGCTCTATTGTTATCAATTTAGTTTGAATCTGAGGGTTGACCTTACAATGTGTAGAACTGTATATTTGCATGAACATTATTTTTGACCTATAGTTTTCCAATAACTGAGATTTTAAGACATGCATTATGGTTTAAGTATTCCTATTGCAACAGCAGACGTATACAAAACCCACTGAAAATTTTTTGTGCAGTGATATTTCATTTGTGACATGCTATTTGTAAATGGGTGCTATTTAAATTACTTGCAACATAATACAACACATGTAAAAATATACATACTTTTACACGTATAGGACACTTTTTTATACTCCAAATCGTTGTATACAAACTCTGCAAGATTTGCATTGTATGTATCAACAGATCATTACTACTGAGTTTTGCTTCCCAGTTGAAAGCGGGACGGGCAGAGAGGCCTGGAGTCATTGTATGCGCTGTGACATCACAGTCTCAAACCCCATTCAGAGAAAACAGCTGTGCCAGTATCTGTCATTTTCAAGAAGAAGGGATGCTGTCCAAGGGCTCTCCATACATTTCTAAAATGACATCAGGGGCCGGCCGAGTGACTCAGTTGGTTAAGAGCTCGCTCAAGAATCTGAGCTCTGGGCCGGCCGAGTGGCGCGATGGTTAAGAACTGGCTTGGGACACCAGAGGGCCCCGGTTCGGATCCCACATATGAGGGCCAGTGACACTGCCCTCTACAGCTAAGATGCTGAACAACAGCTCAACCTGGAGCTGGGCTGCCCTGAGTCACCGGCAACGGCGTAGGCTGCAGCCCCTGTGGCAGTGGGTTGCCATGGGCTACCATGTGTAGCCAGCAGCCAGCGTGAGCGGGCAGCAGCCGCAGTGAGCGGCCATCCAGAAGCCGGCGACTGATCTGCCTCGCCCGGGAAGAGCGCAATGATGGTGCCAACTTGGGTCAGTGAAGCAACGTCCTCCACAACTAGACTGAAGAACAAAACAACAGCAACTTGTCTGTTCCCCTTCCCTCAATTCCCCAAGACTGTTCCCATCCCCCCAATTCCCCAATAAAAATCTTTAAAAAAAAAAAAAAAAAGCTCACAGTGGGTGAGTCCAATAAGCACATAATTGCAATACAACTCAAAAAAAAAAAAAAGAATCTGAGCTCTGAGCAACAGCGGTTCGCGTCCAGCCCGTGCTGAGCAGCCGCTGAGCTGCCAACAGGTAGCAGGATGGCTCAGCTAAAAAAATAAATAAATAAATAAATAAAATGACATCAGGCCCACTAGGTTTTCCCAGAACCAAGGTGGAAGTTCCACGAAAGTGTACTCTCCCTACAACCCTGCTGGACAAATGGCCGCAGCATTTCCAAGCTCCTTTCTCATGCTGAATTCAAAGATCTTGGCACCAAGATGAGCTGAAGCCTAAGGCATCAACTGCACACACATCCATCCCTACTCTCACTCCCACCCAAGTCTTGTCCAGAGAAAGTTCTTTCCAGCTTCAGTCCTAGGAATGGGGTGTCTGAGGGCCTAAAGAGTGGGGGGGGGGTCTTCCCCGATCCTTTTTCATGCTATTTCAGGAGGCAAAGCCTCTCCTGGGACTTTTCAGGGATTTTCAGAAGAGCCCCATGCTAAGCCAGCTCAACCAAGCTACAGAGGCCCAATTTCCCCAGAACAATGAAATGGAGCCCAGAAGAGCCAAAGGAGAGTCCATCCTTCACCCAGGAATGGGCTCTAGGAAGACGTTCCAGCCCCACAGGGAGGGTTTGGATTTCCAAACCCAAGTCACCTAAGAGGGCACCAGGTCTCACCCCCACCCCCACCATCCATTCCAGGCCAGAGGGGCCACAGATTTCACGAGCAAGCCCCGGACATCTGATGGCTCCAAGACTTCTCACTCTGCTCCCTGCAAGGACACACACACACACACACACACACACTGCAGGCATTCCACACCTGCAGGTCATGGTCTGGTCTAGAAACTGCCAGTTGCAGCGCGAGGGGGATCTGTCATGTCAAGGCAGTGAGAGATGAGGGGGTACAGCAAAGGCAAGATCCATGGGCCTCTGGAGGCTTTGCCAGGGTCTGGGGCTGCTCAGGCCATCGTCAGCACTCCCTGGGCAGACTTCTGCTCCCCACTGCCCAGGGACAAGCAGGGTTTGCTGCAAAAACAATGACATCAGGCAGACCAAGAGCTGAAGTCTCTGTTAGTGGCTTAAGCTGAGGACTGTAAATGCCTGACTTCCTGGGTCTGCTTAATGCGTGCCTGTGAGGAGCGACTACATCAGAAGTTCAAGTTTCAGCTTTGCCATGACTTCAAAGTGCCCTCAAGCACTGCAGTCTTCAGTTTTCCCATCTGTGAAAAGAAAGCATTACACAAGATAGAATTCAAGGTCCTTTTTCGCCCTGAGTGCGAGTTCTTTTGTTCCTTCGAGTGTGTACATTCACGTGTTACACATGTGAACTGCTCTCTAGGACACCTATGTCCTGGGGCACTGCATTAGGAATCATGTGGGTCATATTGTGTGTATGTGCTGAGGGGGAGGGGAGACCCCAGAACAATATCCTCCCCCATCCCTCCTCAATAGGCGGAAGCCACTGGCTTCCTCCCTTTCCTGCCTCCTGCTCCCTGGCAAGACTCAGGACGGAGGGGAGAAGAGAGGATGGAAAAATCAGCCCAGTAGCCCCAGGTCTGTCCTTACCACAACCCTTCCCCCACCTCTATGGACCCCATTCCAGGGTCGTCTAGGCCCCACCAATCCCCAGCCTTTTGGGGATCAGACTGAGGGGCCTAGAGGCCCAGAAGTAGGATAAGTCCTCCCCACCCCTCTTCCCTGCCACCCCTCCCACTCCAGCCACCTCACTTCCCTTTCCTCCCAACACCAACACACACTGACTATCACAGGCTGAGCAGCCAGATTAAGTCACTGACCGTGGGCCCCGCTTGTCCTGGCTGGCCTGGTCAGCCTCCGGAGTATGGTCTGGCTGGGGGCCCCTTTGCTGCTCCCCATCGTCTTCTTGGCTTCTCATGTTGGTAAGTCTCCCCGGAACTGTGTCCCAACCCAGCCCCCAAGGCCCTGATTCTCCCCCCAGTAAACCCTATCATCACCGCCGTAACTTTCATCGATACCCTAATCAGCTAGAAAATGGGATCAGGGCCAGGAAAACCTAGGCAGGTGCTAGAAATCACTGCAGCGGGGGGATTGGAGGAGGGGAGGGGAGCGGAGCGGCCACTGACTGTGCTGGATCTTAGGCTCAGTCCAGAACAGCAGGGCCTATGGGTCCCGTGACGTTTTCAGTGAGTGTTCATATGGTCAGTGAGTTGCATTCATTCAGTTATTCACTTGACAAACATTTACTCGAGAACCAACACTATTCCAGGAGCTGTGCTAAGTGGTGGGCCATTAGTTGAGATGCAGGTCACCTCCAGATCTGCACAGTGAGATTCAATGATGCTGACCTCCTATGGCTGTTAGGGGTTTCAATGAGGCAATGCATGCAGAGTGCTTGGCACAATGCCTGGCACTTGTTAAGGGCTTCTGAATAAGTGGTAGCTGACTCCTTCAGTGTGCTGGCCAAAGAGGATGAGAACGCAGAAGCTGCCTTTGAGTGGTTCACAGTCTAGTGGGGGGCACAGGACGTGGGGTGAGGGCTAAACACATGAGCACAAGGAGCTCCAGTGGAGCTCTGCGGAGGAGTCAGCTTACTCCACCTTGGGCAGTATATGAAAAGGGGGCCACGAAAGACTTCACGAAGAGCAGCAGTCTTCATTCCAGGCAGCCAGCAATAGATGCACATCTCAGAGGCATGAAAGTGCATGGAAGGTCCCAGGAGGGAACATAGCAGGAAGGGCAGTGTGTGAGAAGCACGGGGCTCAAGAGCATACCTTTTATTCTGAGGGCAACAGAGAGCCATGGGAGGTTGTAGGCTAGAGAGTCACAAGGTGTTAGCTGGATCACTTTGGAGGATGAGTTGAGGAAGGAGGGGCGTGGCTGTTGGGATGGTCCAGGTGAGTAAGGGTGACAGCTAGGTAAGGGCAGACTTGGAGATGGGGATAAAGTCAAGAGGCTTGGAGAAAAATAGAATTTGCAGAATTTTGTGACTGATTAGGGCAGCCAGCATAACGCTTCAAGGTGTGAACTTGAGAGTCAGACAACCTGGCTCTGCCAGTTACTAATTGTATGACCTTGGGCAAGTTACTTCTCTGAGCCTTCCTTCCCTGGCTATAAAATGCAGGTAATAACACCCACCTCCCCAGAGAGGATGATAAAATGAGAGAATACCTGTAAAGTGCCTGGCATACAGTCGACCTCCAATAAACGCGAGTTATTATGACAGCAGGAATACGAGGTGACTCTGAAGTTTGTGTCTCAGGTGGCTCAGATGCCACCCGCTGAGACAGGGAGCACTGGGAAGGAGCAGGTGTGGGGAAAGCTGATGGACAGGCAGGCCCAACCTGAGCGGGTGTCCCAGGGCTACTGACTCGGCGGTGATCATTAAAGCCAAGGGAGCAGATGAGCTTGCTCAAGAAAACCTGTAGACTCATTATTACCCTCCTCTGTAAATGGAAAGACAACTTCACTGAAGGGTGTGAGGATCCCTTGGAAACCAGGTGCTCCGCACATGGCAGGCAGTCAGCAAATGCTAGCTTCATTTACTCGTGGTAGACTTTTGAAGAATATGAATTGATAAGCTAAGAGGCATTTAAACTACTTACATGGCAGTTAACAGGCATAGAGAGAGAAGAGGGGCTCAGAAGGGTGTGGGGTCATGGGGCTGGGGAGTCTCACCGGCTCAACACGGTAGGGCCCGGCTCTCCTTGGTTTCTCCCCTGTCTCACCTTGTATTGCCCTAGTGACACCGAGCTCGGACATCCCCCTGTCCATACCATGATGATTTTCATTCTGTGTCTTAACTCAGGCTGTGCCTTCTACCCAGAATACCCTTCCCTACCACTGACCTCTCCCTGTCCCCATTCTCCTCACCCCTCTACATCCTGCTGGGTTCCAGGGGTGTCTTTATCTCCCAGAAGGCATCTCTTCATCCTCTATGGCACACCTAACAGGTGAGGTACCCATCCTCTGTGCTCCCACACAAGGTGCCCTGAGTTTGACAGGTGTGTCCATGTCTGTCTGCCAGCGAGGCAGGGAGCGCTTTGGAAAGCAAAGATCTAGGCCCACCTGCTATCTGTGCATGTTGGTCTGGGGCCTGCCCTGGCCTGCCTACTCTGTCTCTGTTTTTTTCTGGCTTTTTCCGCAGGGCCCAGAACTCTTTTCCTTTCTGCCCCACAACAATCTGGCTGCAGAACCCAGCGTCTCCCATCTTAAATCCCAGCACACACATGTCTGAATTTCTGGAGTGAAAGGGTGGGGTTCCTGCAAGGCACTCTAATCTCCTTGGTTTTCCCAGCCTGCACCCTCAGAGGGGGAGGGGGCGGGGTGCAGGGAAAGCGACTTCCCTTGTCAGAGCACTTTGAGAGACGATGGGGGGAAAAGGGGGCTGATAGGGGATAAAAAGGAAACGGAGACAGGGAGCATAGATCATTCTTTCCAAAGCTGGGCTGCAAAGGGAAGCCATCTGGCAAGAGAAGGGAGGGGTCGAGGCCAGAGAAGGGGTTTTGTTTTTGTTCTTTTAGGATGAAGAGGCTTAAGGGAAAGGGGCCAAAGCACAGGGAAGGGGGAAGGGGGAAGGGGCAGGAAGGGAGGACGGAAATGCCTGCTCAAGTGCAGAGTCTGGAGATGGAATGGAGGGGGAGTGGGAGAAGGGGGACAGTTGGGGACTCCGTCAGATCTGAGAACTGCTGTCCCGTCCCAGGCGCAGCGGCGGACCTGACGCTGCTGGCCGACCTGCGCCTCACAGAGCCGCAGAGGTTCTTCCTGACCTGCGTGTCTGGAGAGGCTGGCGCTAGCAGGGGTGCAGACGCCTGGAGCCCGGCTCTGCTGCTAGAGAAGGACGACCGCATCGTACGCACTCCCCGGCCCTGGCCGCCCACGCAGCTGGCCCGCAATGGATCCCAGCGCATCACGCTGCGCGGCTTCTCCCGGCCCTCGGACCTGGTGGGCGTCTTCTCCTGCGTGGGCGGTGCGGGGGCGCGGCGCACGCGCGTCCTCTACGTGCATAACAGCCCAGGAGGTGAGTCTGGCCCACAGGTCAGGAGGGAAAGGAAAGGCTGCCCTTGACCTCTGACCCCACCCCCCATCCACCCCGCAGCCCACCTACTCCCTGACAAGGTCACACACACAGTGAACAAAGGCGACACGGCTGTGCTTTCGGCACATGTGCACAAGGAGAAGCAGACAGATGTGATTTGGAAGAGCAATGGTGAGAGGGGCTCTGGGCTTGATTGGCAGGGAAACCCATAGATCTGACACCCCAACACCTCCATGGCCCTGGGCATCCCCAGCTGTGGCCCCTTACACAGCTGTCACTCCCATACCTCTGTTACTCGCCTGGCCAACCTCCAGGGCCCACTTTGTTCTGGACCAGGTGCATGGGAAGCACCTGCATCCTTCTAGCTCTGAGCTGCCCTCCTTCCACACCCAGGGGACCAGCAGCCTCGTGGTTAGTTACCTCCTTCCCTGTCACCCCCAAATCAGCACTATGTTAAACCCTCACCTTTGACTCTCCCCTGGGAGCTAGCAGGTGCTGTCACATAGCCCACATAACGGGAGCAACAGTCCCCAAGGGGAAGAGAACTTGTAACAGTTTGGGCACAAACAAGGAAAGTCTAGCCTCTTCTGGAGATCTATCCAGATGTGTGCTGGGGCCTGGCCAAACTTGGGGAGCTCAGCCACCCCGTGGGAGAAAGCTGTTTTCCTCTGTGGCCCCAAAGATTCCTGCCTCTGCCCTCAGAGCCACAGCCTTTGCTTGCTTCTTGCGTCCTTTGGCTCCTGAGGGAGGAGGACCCTTCCCTTGGGCCAAGGAATTTGCCTCCTGAGCTCCAGACCCACTAAACTGATGAGAGATGTGGATAGTCAGATAGACCTGGGCTCCCTAGAGTCTCTGTTCATTCCTCAGCAGAGGCAAGCGGGGGTGGGGCAGGAACAGGGATGCTTGTCTAATATTAGGGGCTGCAGGTTCTGGGGGCAGAGGCTCCTGGGAGAAATCCCAAAGCAGAGGACATCTGAACTGCGCCCAGAAGAAGACATGGAAATTAACCAGACAAAGGAGGAGAGCAAAGGCAGGAAGCTCTGAAATACTGCGCAGTTGTTTCTGGAAGAGAAACCAGCCATTCAGGAGTTCAGGAATGTTAGGAGTGAGGCAGGGTGTGGAGAAGTATGGGGCTAGAGGGCTATGCAATGGCCAAACTGGTGAGAGTGATGCGCGGGGGAGTTGGATGTGGTCCTGAGGGCGGTGGAGAACTATTGAAGAGGTTAAGCAGGGAGCTGCAGGGCAGTCTGTTGCAGAAAAAACACACTGGTTGCTGAGTGGAGAGGGCATGGGGAGGGGGGACTGGACGCAGAGAGGCGGAGGCCTGGGTGGCAGGTGGCAGGAGGTGTGAAGAGAAGAGGATGCTTTAGGAGATGAGAGGAGCAGGACCTGTGACTTACTGAGTGGCTGGTGGAACATGGACAGAGGGTGCTTCCCAGCTTTCTGGCTTAGGTACAAACACTTGAAGGTGCCTTCCCCCAGGTCCAATCACAATGCATGGTGCACACTGATGTGACCTCGGCAGAGGTGAGCAGAGGAAGGGGACACCAGCTCTCACATGGTGCTGAGGCCCCTGACCCACTTATGCCCCCAGGATCCTACTTCTATACCCTGGACAGGCATGAGGCCCAGGATGGGCGGTTCCTGCTGCGGCTCCCAAACGTGCAGCCATCATCAAGCGGCATCTACAGTGCCACCTACCTGGAAGCCAGCCCCCTGGGCAGCGCCTTCTTTCGGCTCATCGTGCGGGGTTAGGGGCAGAGAGAAGAGGTGGTGGGTGGTGTGGGAGGCTGGGAGCCCTGGGGGTACTTCCTGTGGGTCCCTTGGATCCCCTGGGTTCCCAGGGCTGCCCCAGTCCTCAGCAGCAATGGTCAGGTGGATGAGGGCCAGCTGCTGAAAGCACATTCCTCCAGGCTGTGAGGCAGGGCGCTGGGGACCAGGCTGTACCAAGGAATGTCCAGGCTGCCTGCATGGAGGTGTCTGCCATGACCAAGATGGCGAGTGTGTATGCCCCCCTGGATTCACTGGTACCCGCTGCGAGCAGGGTAAGGAGGAGGGGGAGCTAGGACCTCAGCAGGAGAGGATGCCTGACTGAACCATGGGGATGGAGGTTGGAGAGTGAGAGTACCAAGTAGGTTTCGGACCCTGGGGCCTGAAAGAGGCCCCTACACCCACTGCCCTCTTTCCAGCCTGCAGAGAGGGCCGTTTTGGGCAGAGCTGCCAGGAGCAGTGCCCAAGCACGGCAGGGTGCCGGGGCCTCACCTTCTGCCTCCCAGACCCCTATGGCTGTTCTTGTGGTTCTGGCTGGAGAGGAAGCCAGTGCCAGGAAGGTATGCATTAACCCACCCTCCGTGGTCCCTGACCCAGAGAGCCGGCTTGACCTGGACCCTTGATTCTGGCCCTGACTTGCACACCAAACCTTCCACAGTCCCATGCTCACCTGACCAGTGCCCTCTCCACCCAGCCTGTTGTTACCCAGGCCTCAGCTGTGCCCTTGTTGCCCCCTGACCTGTGCCTCTCTAACTACACCCTGTCTGTTCCCAGCCTGTGCCCCTGGTCATTTCGGGGCTGATTGCCGCCTCCAGTGCCAGTGTCAGAATGGCGGCACTTGTGACCGCTTCAGTGGCTGTGTCTGCCCCTCCGGGTGGCATGGAGTGTACTGTGAGAAGTCAGGTATGAACACAAGGGTCTCAGATCTCTCAAGACAAGCCAGCCTTCACCAGATACAGCTCCCTGTTAATGCTTTAAGCCCTGCCCTCAGAGAGCTCATGGTTTGGAAGGAGTTCTCACCACCCAGCCCACACCATCCATTCAGAGATGGGCAGCAGCCCAGAGTGAGTGGGAGGCCAGAGGAGACCCTCACTAGTCTGAGAGGTTCAGAGAGGGCTTCCGGGGAGAGATGAGATCTGAGATGGGATATGAAAAACAAGAGAGAGAGATGGCTGGAGAAAGAGCATGGACCAAGGCTCAGGTACCAGGACAGTGGAGTAAAGGGAGCCCCAGGAGTGGTCAGAAGAGATAAAATCTTGGGGACTTTGAATAGCAGGCCAAATGGTTTGACTTAATATCATAGAGGCAGGAAGGAATTGTTGAAGAGGCACTCGGTGGTCAGATATGTGTTTGAGAAAGAACTCTAGCTGCTGGGTGGAGAGTGGAACAGGAGACCCTGGATGATCTGTGGCAGAGCCACAATGAGGCCTGAACTGGTGTTCTGGCCATGAGGCTGAGGCTGGTAAGGGCCCTAGTTTCGGTCTAACGGGATCTTAGGAGGTGAGGGTTGCAGGAACAAAACTCTACAGCTGATTAGAACTGGGCACAAGGGTCTTAGAGGATTCACACAGAACTTCACTGGCTTTCAGGCTTGAGTGACTGGGCAGGTGGTGGTGCATCCACTGAGATGCATGACATAAGATGAGGGGCACTTTGGTAGTCATGTGTCTGCCCCGTGGCAGCTCCAGGATGAGTGTCCTTTCTTTCTCTAGACCGGATTCCCCAGATCCTGGACATGGCCTCAGAACTGGAGTTCAACTTGAAGACGATGCCCCGGATCAACTGTGCAGCCGCAGGGAACCCTTTCCCAGTACGGGGCAGCATGGAGCTACGCAAGCCAGATGGCACAGTCCTCCTGGTCAGCCCCGTGACTCCAACCCAGGGCCCCCTGACTGCCAGCTTCACAGTTGGTCCCTTAGACCCTGGCCCTTCAGGGTTTCCTTCAAGCTCTTCCCACTAGCCTGACCATGGCTCAAATGGGATCAGGCCGATTGTTGAAGGGCTGCCTTCCTGCTTCTGTCCCCTCATCAGTCCAGATAGATGTGTATCTGCCACATGGATGTATGTTGTCTGTGGTATGTCCTCTTCCCCTGTCTCTCTAGTCCACCAAGGCCATTGTGGAGCCAGATAGGACGACAGCCGAGTTCGAGGTTCCACGCTTGGCTCTTGCAGACAGTGGGATGTGGGAATGCCGTGTCTCCACGTCTGGTGGTCAAGATAGTAGGCGCTTCAAGGTCAATGTCAAAGGTCAGTGATGTCCTGGGGCCATGGAAGATGGACAGCAGGCAAAGTGGACACTAGCCAGTGCTGCTCAGACTGGGCATTGTAGCAGGAAAGGCAAGGGCATCTAAGGTCATGCCCAACACCAGGCAAAGGCGAGGGGATGTGGTCAACCAGAGGTCTGGGCTGGGCGCTGTCAGGATGGGAGTACCGCTCAGTCCCATCTGGAAAGGACACCCCATGCTCCAGAAACGGATCACCCTCTGGCCTCACCTGGCCTCCTGCCTGACCATACTTGCCCGCTCCAACCCACACAGACACACAGTGGTTTTTAACTCTGCCTGTGGGGTGCTGCTTCCTCCTCTGAGTCACACCACAGGGCACTCAGTGCCAGGACAGGGGAGCACATGGGGCTGTGGAACTCAGAGGGTGACCTGCTCACCTTCCCAGAGGTGCTGCGTAGGTGAATGAGGAGGGAGCTGTCAGTGCCCAGAGCTGCTCAGAGCAGAGCATGCCCACCCCGATCCAGGTGTCCCTTCACCTCCAGTGCCATAAGCCTTGGCTAGTCACACCCCCTGGTTCCTCTTTCCCTCTGTTCCCAGCACTCCCCCCTCCCCACATAAACCCAGACCTCTCTCACTTCCTCTTTCTCACTCTACCCACCTGTTCATCATGCCCCTCCCACCACTGTACAGCCCCGCCCCCCAGGAAATGTAAATGTGGGCCTTGGGCTCCACCTTCTCCACCTCCAGCCTTTCTCTTTTCACACCTCCCGGACTTTGGACCCAAACTACTCCGGTTCCAATCTTCACTCCACATTCCTAGCTCCATCACCTTAAGCAAGTTACTTAGCCCCTCATAGCTTGTTTCTCTCTGTAAGATGAGGATATCAGTGCGCACTCTGATAGGGTTGCCGTGAAGAGTAAATTAGATGATGCATTTACACATGTATCACAGTGCCACATCCTTGTGCCCCAAGCTGCCCAGGGGGCAGAACTCTGTCCTCCCTGGGCCCTGGCCACTCTGGTCATCTGAACTTGGTCTCTTCCCGGGCCCAGAAGGTCCCCAGATCCAAACCGAGACCCAAGGTGTCTTTATTGGCCAAAGCTCAGAGTCCTCTCATGCTTCTGAGGACTGGGTGGGCTTGCTGGACCACACCTTACCCTGAGTCTCCTGGCAGTGCCCCCGGTGCCCCTGACTGCTCCTAGGCTCCTGGCCAAGCAGAGCCGCCAGCTCGTGGTGTCCCCGCTGGTCTCCTTCTCTGGGGACGGACCCATTGCCTCTGTCCGCCTGCACTACCAGCCCCAGGACAGCATGGCCTGGTCTGCCATTGTGGGTGAGTGTGGAGAAAGCTGGGTGAGACAGGGTCTGGGGCAGGACAGGGTTAATAATAAGGGGAGAAGGGGAGAATGGAGCGGGAGGGAGAGTGGTATAAGGAGAAGAGAGGGGTTGAAGGGAGAATGGCAGCTTCTGGAAGAGTTGGGGACTGAATGATGTATGTTGTGCACCCCACCCCCAGTGGACCCCAGTGAGAATGTGACATTAATGAACCTGAGGCCGAAGACAAGATACAATGTCCGTGTGCAGCTGAGCCGGCCAGGGGAAGGTGGGGAGGGGGCCTGGGGGCCTCCCACCCTCATGACCACAGACTGTCCCGGTGAGAGGCCAAGAGTCATCCCTTCCTGTCCCCCCAGGGGCTATTGTCCTGTGCATTCAGGGGTTATCATGTCTTGTCCACTCCAGGGGCCCTTGCCTTTCCCATTGAAGGTTGTCCCACCCTGTCCCCTGGGGATCACTGTCCCATCCAGACCCAAGTACCCACTGGACAATTCTGACCCCTGACCTCTGGCCCCAGAGCCCTTGTTGCAGCCACGGCTGGAGAGCTGGCATGTGGAGGGCCCTGACCGGTTGCGAGTGAGCTGGTCCTTACCCTCGGTGCCTGGGCCACTGGTGGGCGATGGTTTCTTGCTGCGCCTATGGGACGGGGCACGGGGACAGGAGCGGCGGGAGAACGTCTCATCCCCCCAGGCACGTTTCGCCCTCCTGACTGGACTCACACCTGGCACCCACTACCAGCTGGATGTGCGGCTCTACCACTGTACCCTCCTGGGCCCTGCCTCACCCCCCGCACGCGTGCTTCTGCCCCCCAGCGGTATGCTCTGGAAGGGGGACTGGGCTCGGAATGAGGGGAGGACAGGGGAGACAGTGGACACATGAGACCCGAAAAAACATGGGAGGTTACAGGAGACTGGATGGGCCTGGAGAGAACCCAGGGCATGTGGAAAGCATTGGCATAGGAGGACCTAGGGCATCAGGCAGACACAGACACAGGGAGGACATGTGATGGGGAACACAGGGCATTGGGGGAACATGGGGAAGACCTAGGACCCTGGGAGGATCTGGGACAACAGGAATACTTGGGATATAAGGAGAATAAGGGGGTGAAGGAGGCCATAGGCAGATGAATTCAGCCCAGGAGGGAAGGAGGAGGTTGGCAGGTGGCTCCCATTCTGGGGTCCTCAGAGCAGGGGACACGGCCTCAGCAGATCTGCCTGACCCCACAGCTCCATAACTTGAGCCTGTCTAAGCCCTGCCTTCCCATCCCCATCTCCCCAGGGCCCCCCGCCCCCCGACACCTCCGTGCCCAGGCTCTCTCAGATTCTGAGATCCAGCTGACATGGCAGCGCCCAGAGGCTCCGGCTGGGCCTATATCCAAGTACATCGTGGAGATGCAGGTGGCTGGGGGCTCAGGAGACCCACTGTGGATGGATGTGGACAGGCCTGAGGAGACAAGTACCATTGTCCGTGGCCTCAATGCCAGCACACGCTACCTCTTCCGTGTGCGGGCCAGCGTCCAGGGTCCCGGTGACTGGAGCAACATGGTAGAAGAGTCCACGCTGGGCAACGGTGAGTGGGCAAGGCCCATGGGGACTCCTGGGCCCTGGGGTCAGTCTCAGTGAGCCCTCCTTCCATGTGATCCCCTGTCTTGGAGCTAGGGCATCCTAGACCCCTTAACAAGTGACACGAGCCCTGGTAAAGTGGACCCTGACCACTCCCTTCTTAGGATCTGCTAGCCTAGTGCTGGGCAAATCATGTAGCCCACTGGCCGTAGACCTGACATCTCTGGTGTCTCCCTGATGCTGGGCTCTCTGACCTCTCCCTCTATGTGACCCCATGGTGGCCTCTGGGTTCCCTGACCCAGGTATCCCCATGATCTGCCCATCTTATGTATCTAGGGCTGCAGA